AGAGTATACTACATGTACCCACTTGTAATACTAGCTTGTGCCTTTCCTTAACAATGGAGGACTTTGTCAAAAACTTAGAAAATTACAAGAAGAAAAAAAAAAACATGAAAAGTTTTGTCACATAACATCTACATAACCGAGGCCAGCTCACTAAAATACAACTCACATAATACAAAAAAGCTCTACATGTACGAGCAACTAGTGTACCATACCTGAAACAATAATATCAACGTTTTAAGAAAAGGTTTACTTTAAGACTACATAATATACTCCAAAAGGATATTTAACAAGATTAAAAGTAGTTGCAAAAAATTCCCAATAATAATAATTAAAATGAAACAAAATTAGAGTGTATATATCCCACATTATTCTTATATCTACAATTTGCAATAACTTACATGGTTTCATGAGCAAATGGCAAGATCACTGTTGAAACATAGGTCTAAATTACAATGGTTTGCTCTCTGAGTCTAAAGAGCGTTAACTCTGTGTACAAGTATATGAGTTATCGCCCTTCCAGCCCTCGGCAGACATACATTTTAGTGCAAATAAAAAGAAAATAATATATACCAGAATAACACACATGTGCTGATGTGACACACCGGAGGAGAGTGCACGGATTGGTGTGACAGTGTAACATAGTAGTGTGACAGAATAACGTATCAATGTAACACACCTGTGTTACATATTAACAGAGTTATGGTAAGTCACACAGAGAATAACAAACTGGTGTTAACCATGGGTAGAGTACCAGCATATTTTTGAGAGAAGTGCAACATGTTATGTCATAAAAGTGCAATTTACTACTGTTAAACATCTTTCCCTGTATAACATCTAGGTGTAACGCACCAGTGTCTCCTATTAAATGAAAAACTGTAACATAGTATGTTACATCAGTGTTACACACTGTTACACACGAGTGCAATGTTTGAATTAACGAGCCAGTGTCACTTTCAATTGTACATAATGTACCAGGGTTAGAAAAAGTGTAACGTACAACAGTGTATGTTAAACCAGCGTAACATACTGTCATCTACCAGTGCAAAGTGTTATACCCTTTTCACATCTACCAAATATTGCTTAACCCCGGGAAATAGGTGGGGCTAAGGGGGCTCTTAGCCCCACCAATTCCTTCCTTAGCCCCACCAATTACCCGGGGTAATTTTAGCCGGCTTTCTGTTCACATTACGTTTTGCCAAAGTGGGCTAACCCCACAAATAGTACGGGACTATCTGGCCCTGCAAAATAGCAGGGTTAGCCGGGCAATTGCGGGGTTAGCCGGGCAATTGTGGTGCTAAGCTGCGTAGTGTGAATCCGAACCGGGCTAAGGAGAAGCGGGGCTAAGCAACAGCCAATCACAGACAGCGTGGTCGTGTGGTCGTGAATTTGCATTTATCGCGCGCTATGCATGCAGTTCACGTTACGCATGCATGCAGTTCACGTTACGCATGCATGCTCTCTGTATTGACGTTTAGTCTTTTACGAGGCAGAGGTCATTATGAAAAAATCTTTATTATAAAATTGATTTAAAAAAATAGTGAAAGAACATGTAGCTCATAATTTGTTATTGCATTTATCATTATCAGTCATATTTACGTAGGTAAATTTATCAAGTGAATTGGATGAAAAATGGGTAATTGATTTGTATCGGTAAAATAATAAAGGGAAAACGCTTTGCGCAAGGCTGGATAACACAACACGAGCGAGCTAAAATTATTACGTACCGTACTGTATATTGAATTTAGCGCGCGGGTTTTTCCCCTTCATTTAGTCGAAAGGCGCATGCGCGGTAGCAAAAGCATTAATATTCATGAGCTATCGAATAGTCCGGGGCTAAGGCGAACGTAGTGTGAATCGCGTGAAATTTCTTAACCCCGGCTAAGCACATAGTCCGGGGTTAAGAAAATAGATGTGAACAGCAAAAAAAATAGTATGGGGTTAAGGATAGTATGGGGTTAAGGATAGTCCGGGGTTAAGAAAAATAGATGTGAAAAGGGTATTAGTGTAACAACCAAGCGTGACACAAAGTGTAACACTGCATATTACACCAGTGTAAAATACAGGTGTAATGTATAGTTGTAACAACCCAGCATGACAAGACAGATAATTCCCAAGCAGACAAATATGAAATACCCGGTATATACTTTGATGCGAGTAGTACTCTTGACATGACGAACGAGAACAGAACAACACAAACACAGAAACTGTCACAAATTGTGTTACGAACATACCAGTTGATAATGATATATCTACAGGATGACATTTGCATACAAAGACTGAGCACACTAAAAAGACTATTAAGTGAGGTAGGGTTTTCTTAAAAATAAAGAACAGAAAAATAAAAACCTCTTTTGCTATTTCTTCATTCTTAATTAAAAAAAATAAAACATGAGAATAAAGAATTACATTCCATGATGTTCTTGTATGTACATCAAAATGATTAATTCTTCACTTGCAAATTAATTGGTATCATCACTTACAGTAAAATCAATATTTGGGTTGCATTTACTGTGGCAAGATTGGTACACCATACATTGGTATTTTGTTTAAAGAAATTCTGGAAAGTAACAAGAAAATAATATAAGAGAAAGACACAAAGAACTGGAGCCTCTCCGTGGCATTATTCGGAGATGTAAATCGTTAAAATCCTTGAAATATTTAAGAAGTGAATATCACTATTAAACTGTTGGAGTAAAGTCTCTTAGATAATACAATGCAATAAAAAGTGCAGTAGTTACATGTAGTTTAAATCATACTTCATTACCAATTCCTGATCATGTTAAATTTCTTTAATTACCGTACTGTGATTACCATGATTAATGTTAATAAAAATGCAGCACCTATTTAGTAACTTCACTTCAATGAATTTTTATCAATTTATATCTGTTTTTCCCAAATCCAAATGTCCACAAAAGTTAAATCAGAAAATGGCACAACCAAAATAAATTTAATTTCGCATAAATTTGTCGAATCAATCCCAAGTTAAATAATCGTCATAACCATCAGAAATACAATTGTCCTGCCCTAAATATAAATTTGATTTACATCATATCATATGTTTATACCATGAAGGGTTACATTTTTTATGAAAGAGAATGTACATATATATCAAGTTTAAATGTTAAAGTGCATGGTGTTTTTAATTGATACGTGTAGTACACTATCATTCGTGCTGAAATTCCAATACTTTTTTTTTTCTTCAAAGGGTTTTGTCATAACCTAACCTACATAAGAGTTAACCCAGTCAAAATCTGATTTAGAGTATTTTTAAACAAAAATTTACAAAATCTGCACCAGAAACAATGAAAATAACTCTAACTTTAACATTTTACACATTTTAGAAAATTTAGAGTATTTTAGAGTATTTTACTAGGATGGACATTTCTTCAATGTTTTCCTGGAAAAAGAATGTTTCAGGCATTGTTAAGAGGCTGAAATTCTGAAACGACTTTTCTAAACTATTTGGTAAACATGTAGTTTGAATAAATAGTATGAATAACCATAGCCTCTATTAATAATGAGACAGAAATAAAACATTGGTGTAGATTATGTAGTAAGTGTTTGCGGTGCAATGGCATTAGATTAGCTGTTGAAATTACTACAACGTAAGTGTCTGTAATCGCCGATTAATTATCTGAGTTTACAAATCCCTTCAGTTTTCACTAGAGGGTTGGACTATACACAGCTGCATACGATGCGCAGAGTTTCAGCAATCACTGCACTTTGTAAAAACAAAATTCATATTCCTGAGTAGTTAGCTATGGTGAAGAATATCTTACGGGCAGTTGTGAAATATCTTCAGTGGTTTGTACAGATGATGAACTAAGTCATGTGTATATCTGCCGTTTGGTTTGAGGCTATGAGTTGTCTTGGCACAAAGAAACACACTTTTCTTCAGTGAATAATCAAGCTTAAACTAAATTGAGAGTTTTGATTACACTCAACTTCCTATCACATCTAAAACACCACATTGAAGTTGACAGGGAGGTCCTCAATCTTTTGCAAGTTGTACTGAAATTTTTCTGAAATTCATTTGTCCATACCAAGATGAATTTCACTATCTTTATGTAATTATTTACCGCTGCCATTAGTTTTAGATTCAAAAATAATAAAATGAACTAATAACACAATATACGTAGATTTGAACAATACACTGCCAGCATGGGAGGTGTTACACATGTACACCAAACATTATATATGGGACTGTAGCCATCCACACAAAGCCATACCGGTTGACATATAATTGCACACTTGTAATGCATATGTGTTTTCCCCATCAAGTTAAAACAAATAAATATCCTACAAACTATTGTCAACAAACAAGTAACGAGCACATCTTCCGCTTCTAAAATACAGTCAAGACGAGACATTCTAATCTTTGACACGAACACAAAACACAAGACAATACGATAAAATGATATTAATCAAATCATCATCTCTTAAATCCCGCTCCATGATATATATCTCTCTCTCATTCAATACTTTCTCACACATAGATTAGATATGACTCCTTCTTATTGTTCAACATTAATACAAAAAAATGTTCAAATGTCCCATTTACATTACCCAATTTTTCTCCCTTTCGTCTCTTTATACTTGTGAAGTTATAAAATATATAGAACTACTGTTTTCAGGTATACAAAAAAACTTCAGAATACAAGATTAGACAATTTCTACTTTAAAAAAAAAAATCAATTAGGTAGCACTTCCCTATCACATCCCTCCGTCAAAATGTTTCCATAACATTTGACAAAATACATGTATTTCCAGCTTTGAGGGGTAGTAAAAACCAATAAAATGTACACATTTCTTCCCCCATGGCTACAATTCTATCAAGAATATTCTTTGGTATTTCACGAAATATAGGCATTAAACAAATTACAGACATTGTTATCTTTAACTCGGCACCGATACAAGTGGTGCAACTCTCCGCTCGTTTACAATTTCTCAAAAAAAGTGGTGGACAGTTTTATTTCACATAAATATGTCTCTGGATCCGAGAGGTTCTACAGATGGTGAAAAAGTACAGTACAGACAAGATTTCACCGATGTAAAGTGGTCACCAATCGACGTGTTCTTATACTTTAGTTCTCCCCCCAAAATGATTGAGGATGATACAATAATGTCGTACTTCATTAGGAGAGCTGTAAGGGAGGGGTTTTAGTTCATTCAAGATTGTATATTTCCTAAGACAAGGTCTGTCTACATGTCACAAAGACTGGTACCAAATTCAACTAAATAAAGATGTACACGAAACCTCAACAAAAGATTTCATGTAAATATTTGTTAAAAAAGGGGGAGGGAGCAGATACACTCCCTTTGCTTGTTTGCACCCAAAGATCATAACGCTACTGTTGAAGCGATCAATAGATCATACTGTTTACATCAGAGTCGCAAACATTGTTGATCAAGAGTTGTCTCTGCCTTGATGATACTGTTGCTAGTGTCATGCTGCTATCGATGAGCCTCCCAGTTTAGCCCTACAGTTGGTCTCCTCGACCAGAGTCCATCGAGCCGTGAGCTGTACAACCAACCCTCATTTCTTCTGCACCACAGAGAATAAATCAATCAAGCTCTGCTTATTTCACACCGGAGACACAACAAACAGCCAAGGGCGCCTTCCCAATAGTTTAAGACTTTGGTTTCAGGGCGCTGGGTCTTCAGACTTTGATCCCAGGTGCTGGGCCTTCAGACTTTGGTTTCAGGTCCTGTCCCCGGAGGGATATAGAGGTTGCGGATGTGGGCTACCGTCTGGGCCAGGAGGTGTCCATACGCTTTGTTGTACCACTCCAGGGTGCGGCCCTTGGTGTCCACTCTGCTGATGTGTGTCAATCGAGACTTGCCCGATCCGCAAGGCTCGATGAGGAAGCGGGAGGCAAGCTCAGTACCCCTGACGCTACCCACTAAGGAGGAGTCTGGATGCTCGATGGACGTGGACACCAGGACACAGGCTCCCTTCTGAAGGTTGGTCCTCCATGACCTAGATAGATGATCAATGCAGAAAGCACATATTCATGAATTTGGGCACTCAATATGATAATGATCTCAAACAGAGGAGTAAAGGATGTAATAAAATGACTGCAGGAGAATTTTAAGTCTCTGCAAGCTCTCGGTGAGAAGAGGGTCATCAAAATATGCTCTGATAACAATTCCTCACTGGGTTAAGCTTGGGACGACAGGTCTCTTTTGAGGGAGGAGTGGGCAGAGTCATTGAATGAACACACCTTAAAAAAACTATTAAGTACTTTCCTGTGGAAAAATCTGTATCTAAAATAGTTCAAAAGTATATCTTGGTGCATCAAACAATGTCTTGTCTTTAATGCCTTAATAATATCATTCTTTGAATTGTTTCATCATTCATACAGACATAAACATAGACTGGAATTTAAGAACCAAACAAGAAAAGAAAAAATAATCTTTGGACAGCAGTTTTATTCTCACCTCAAGACAGTGTAGCTCCTGGTAGGATGTGGTGCCATAGAGTTGACAACATACTCAAAGACCTCAGTCTGGTTGTCTATCTTCTCAACAGATCGCCACTTCAGCAGGTCTTCATCCCAGTATTGCCTTCAAGAAAAAGAGAAGGATAAGCAAATTAAATAAAAAGGTTCAATAAGACAACTGAAGGATTTGTTAAAGCTAAAAAGCAGGCAAAATCAATATGAAAGAACTAACTGGCAAATGTAGAATCAAGTATTTTAGAATATGGAGGTCATTACTTTGCTGTGAATTTGGAATGCCATGTTATGATTTTTTCATAGTAATAACCCTTTTTTTATGTGTCTATTCCTCATGTAATAGCATCAACAATTCAATCTCAATAACATGCTTTTGAAGGTCCTCCTACCTCATTCATTTCTCTCTGCATTAAAAATCTCTAATGTTTACCTTTCTCTGAGGACCCTCTGAAGGATGACAGAGGGTGGGGCCTTGATCTCGGTGGTGCACTTCCAGAGGCGTAGCGGATGGCCGTCGCCGACCTTCTTATACGCCACTTCCACCTTGTCTACCGGTGGACAGGAAACCCAACCCTTGAACTTCTCTCTCGACTCCTGCAAAGGAAAATAGAGAATAAATTGCTTTAGAAGTGGGAATTCCAAGGTGGACATATCAATCTGAGAGGAAATATTCCTATCCACAAAACGCTATCACCATCCCCCATTCCATCAATATTGTTATTGTCATCATCACTATCATCAGAGTAACCATGATCACCACCACCACCACCGTCGCCGCCGTCGTCGTCGTCGTCATCCATTTCATTTCATTTCTTTATTGTGTCCATATGGGATAGTTGTTTCTATTTACGTTTACAATCTTGCTTCACAGTAATTTCACAGCAACAACATCAACATCATCATCATCATCATCATCATTCTCTCACCTTAAGAAGTCCTTGGATGCAGCTCTCCAGATAGCTCTTGTAGTCCCCGCTCTCATCATTCCTCTTCCTCCCTAGCTCTTCTAGTGTGACTGGTTCACCAAGATCCATGTACGAGAAATGGCACTTGGCCAGCAAGTCCTCCGGTACCATGAAGAGCTTCTTGCACTCTCTGATCATGAGCGCCAGGCACTCGTTGGCAGCTACGTTCTCGATCAGTTCCTTCTGGTCGGGCTTGCCTGCCATCTTGCGCCTCTGATGCGGACTCTTGGGGTTGCGCATGCTCTCTCCCGAGTTCAGCTGGAACAGCGAGGGTGCAAAGCAGACGGCTAGGTTGTACGCAGTCATCTGGAGTGAGAACAGAGAAGATGTGTTAATCAATTGTCTCCTCAATTACCGGATTCAAGTAAGAATCACTCAGTATAGGCTAAATGATACACTAATGTTCTGCATGGTAAAACAATCAACAATCAACAATGAATAGTACCTTCCAAGCTATCTCTATCGAATCAGAATCTCTCTTTCCAACACTACAATTATGTTCTTAATTGGCTAATATACGGGACATTGTAATTGGTTTTGCCTTTCATTTCATTGTAACAGACAGGCCAAAAAAACAGTCAAGATGGTACACTATTCCTTTTATTCAAACAAATTCAAAGGGAAAAACTGGGTCTATGCCACATTATGGTCAATACCCTTTCCAAACGATCTATCAAACAAAATCATAGAGAAAATAAACCTTTTGAAAAAAAACGAGGACGAAGAAGTCTGAACTTGTTTCAGGTTGAAGAGTTCATCCTAAATTCCCCTCCCAAAGCCGATAAGCACATGTCCAGGTGTATTGCCCACTCGTACTTGAATAAATCCGGCAGGCACGATTTAAACTGCTATAGGGAGGAGGAGGAGGGGATTCAACTGTCTGGGGATTCTCTTTTCATCTAATCACCTGGAGGTGTATTACTTGTATAATACCCTTGATTATGAGCCAATAATTTTACACCCAGCCTTGATCCACCAAAGATTCTAATTTTAATTGAGACAAAAATCCCTTCACCATTTCAAATGAAAGAATCAGAGTCTACCTTGCAGCTTTATTATTAACTTTTAACAGATTTAATTCAGGTTTTGACTGAGGCGAAGGGGAGGATCTGCCTCCCAAAATGCCATGAACTATTCGATATTGCATTTCTGGATTTATCCGGGCTTTCATTTCAATCCCTCCGCAAGGGATCGGATGGGATTAGGTCTTAGGAGGCATGGCTTATCATCAGCAGAATGCTGGAATGACGGATTACACGATTAAGCTTTTCTCATATCTTGCAATCCCACACCCGAAGAAGAGAATAAAAGTATAACACTTTCTCAACCTTTGTGAAGATCTTGAAACTTTCTTCTTGATCATGCAAGTTCTACAGCTTTTTAAGAAATGAAGGATTCCCTTACTTTTTTAAAATTTATGTTAATAACGGTCTGTGTGAAACGAAGATTAATTTGATAGTAATTACAGTAGAACTCCCTTTTGCATAGAAAATTCCATGAATGGTATTAAGTGTCCATGTTTGAAACTCTAAAAACAAGTTTAAATACGGTAAACTCATCTCCCAAAAGTGAGAAGGATGCTGTGCTCTGTGTGAAAGATAATCACACAATGCTGCTCTGTGAATTAGCAGTAATCCCTTCCACATACATTTAATTTTGTGTATGTATTTACCCAAAAGGTGTCTGTCTTTATGTAAAACTTGTATATTTTCATCTTTATAGTGGTATGAAAGGAGAGTCAGGCTAACTCGGACCCGGGGACAACTCGGCCCTGCTGCAAAAAACGGTCATATTTTGCAGGTTTAGGGTTAGGGTTAAGGTTAGGGTTAAGGCTTAGGGTAAGGGTTAGGGTTTGGTTAAAATGACAAAATGATTGTTTTTCGCAGCGGGGCCGAGTTGTACCCGGGTCCGAGTTAGCCCGATCCGTATGAAAGTAGTTGATAAGCTGTTTCTGTGGAAGCATCTTTAGAACTCACCTGGTTCACGTCTGCTTGGCTAGCTATGTCACTCAGGAATAGCAGGAGCGACTGGAGGACCTCTCGGTTCTCGTCCGGCATGAGGAGGATGGCTGCCTGCATCACCGGGACACGCAGCTCCTTGGGAACGGATGCTGGAAGGAGATGAAGATGAGATGGTAAAGCTAGGTCAATGGACGGAATTGCTTCAGATACTGAAGTTATTATTAAAGGCCCACTGCACTACTTGTAGCTACTTGCTCCCTCTATATAGAAAATAATGCCTAATCGGTGACCAATAGTCCCCCATGATCCTTTTTTTCTGATGTTAATTTAGAGCTGAGTTGATGAGATAGCCACATGTCAGTGACCTTCCGGGGTGGTCTAATCCCTCCTAGCCAAACTAGTACAGACGGCCTTTAACAACGGTCATTATTGAATGATGCTAGACAAATTGAGTAATGTCTCTACAAATGTTTTTGTCTTCTTAATCATAACCCATGAAATCACGTTGCATTCTTCAAATTTGCAGAGTTCAGGTTATTCACCCACTTTTATTCCATTTCTTTACTCTCTTTTACAAAAAATATATATGTAAACAAATAGCAGCAGAAGTAATAGATTCAATAGAGGGAAATTGAATTTACACATGCTACAATGTCAATGTCAATGTCAATGACTTCACCCATTAAACATAACGACAACTTTAACAGATTTGAGCTGACAGCAGGAAATTCTCTATTGTCCGGCTCAACATGACATATTCCCTGTTGCCTTTGACCGCATTCTTGAAGCTGATTGGAGAGTATTGTTATCCTCGCGCTTCAAAGACGAGCCGACAAAAATCATATCACTTCTTGCTCTGTTCAAATTCTAGTCAAATTATGAATTCATTTAGAGTATCATAGAAATGAAGATGTAGCGATTTTTTATTTTTTATGAATAATTTGCTTGGTTTTTATTCAAGTGGCACAATTCTGTATAGCAGGTTGGTGCTAGAACCGTACTGGAGGCAACCTAACCCTACTGTTTGTTCCCACTGCTGTCGGTGTATTGATTTTTTTTCTCTGCTTGGAGCCAGAATGGCATTAACTCCTACGCTTTAACACAGAGTCAATGACCTTCTGGCTCTGAAGTCTGAACAGACCAAACGGTTCATTGGCAGTGGGAACAGAGTGATGTCCAAGCTAGGAGGTAGGTTATTACAGGTCCAATCATGGTCCGGGGGACATACCAAAGATAACGTCATTTTGAAAACTATGCCAGGTCTTGAAGATGGCTACAGATGTGCATCCTTGAAGTGTGATGCTGCACTTTTACAGATGCTCTTATTTCATCATTCACAAACTTCTTCAAATTAGGTGATTGATCGATCGGAACAGGCTAGTATGTGCAAGCATTTCATACTTAATGTTCTGTATTAGTTAAACTATCATTTTCAGCTTATAACAGAGTTTTCTATAGATTAGATTAGCGCCTCTAAATCTGATTCAAAATGTTTTAGTGATGCCTCTGTGGTTAGGGTAACTGTTTTTTTTATATCCCTATTTCGATTTTTGTTGTTGTTGCTTTTCTTAGATCTTGTTCTATTTATTTCCAATTCTTGTTATGTTCAGAACAGACTCCTCTTTTATTTCTCTTACAAAACCAAACATTTTTCTTTCTAGATATTAGTAGATATACATCTCTTTCAGTGTCTCTCTCCCTCTCTTTCTCCCTCTCCCTAGCTCAATCCCTGCAACCTATTTCCCTCCCAGAGTTCACCGCATATATACTCCCAGGTTGCTTCTGCAACTCAAATTGAGCGATTACGATTCCAGGCGCTCTCAGGAGCGTGGCATTTCCTGATCTGATTAGGAAAGGGGAAAGGAATAGCAACGAAGCTCACAACAAGCTATTTCCTCGCTATCTGTCGGCTGGATAGGCTCGGCAGGCAGAAGAATCAGCACTCGTTTCCGATCATCTGCCCTCATCGAAAGTTCACATGGTGATTCTAGTTTAGGTGGATGAAATAGCAAGTCACTGCGAACCCGTTGCCAACAAGCTCAATGTATATTTTTGTTCCGAGGAGAGGAATATTTGAAACCATCTCCATGAAAACAAACAAACAGAAAAACAAGGGGAAAGGGTATCTGTGTTGTATAATAAAGGCTTCCTTCTCATATACCTTAACCCCTTCAATACTTTTAAAACCATCCCCCGATTACTAAACAGTCAGTGCATGGGACTAGAATGGAATTAGAATAGCATAGCCTACATGAATTCAAGCGAGTAACGTAAGAAGCAATCACTCAAATCAAAATACTCCAAAAAAAAGTTCCTTTTGAGGGCCAGGACAAAAGGAAAGAAAATACGATTATTAACGGGTGAGTTGTTTACAGACAATAACGAAGGACTATTAGCTATATTTAGCTGCTGTCTGCTGATAGTAAATCTTAATGGGCTTCTGCTTAACTGAGTTCTGGAGGTTTCTTGCAAGAATCTTATGAAAATAGAAGAAAACGACGTCACAAGGTATGACAAGATGAAAGAGAAAGGAAAAGAAGACTTATAAGAAGGGTTAAAGAAACAGGTTGGCAAGAGAGAGTTTGTTTGGTGATTACAAGTATAATAGGAAAAGACAAGAAACCTAGTAAATATATTAGATAGTATGCAGTTCGAAATAATGCTATGGAATGTCCTATGTTGATGCACATTGAAGTGTACAGGGAACTACCATAAAGGGACTAGATAAGCAGAAGGGGGAATGTACAAGAAAGTATAAGAAAGAAAAACATTCAAAATGGACAGAAAATTGTATTGCCTACTACAAGCAAGAATCCATCATCTTACAATTACAAAAAACCCATCAATGTATGAAAGTGAGTACTAGCCTGGCCGTGCATGCTGTGATTGCCATTAGATTCTCCAGACCAAAGTCATCATTAAGTCGTAAACGAGCTCATTTGCGGCAAATTCATATCCTAAACACCCTATCAATTCCGTCTTCCATCCTGAACTTGATTTGTTATTTTCTTTTTCCCACAGCTACAGACAGCACTTAACCAAATAGCCTCTGGTCATAGATGAGGACTGAGCGTTCCCTTGTTTAGATTCTCTCCACTCTCTTGAGAGGGCAGTCAATGTCTTCCTCCTATCTTATTTCTCATTTTCTCCTCTTCATCGTTTTGGAAGGTGCGTCCCTGTTTCTGGGAACTCTCATCATCATCACTCTTGTGGTTGGTCAATGACTTCTCGTCCTTCATCATCATCAATTTGTTGTTGTTGAAGGGGTGTCCCCATTTCTATGAACTTCATCCAAATTTAGAGTGGGTAAGAGGAAATTCGTGGTCTTCATACACAAGAATCAATAAATGAATAATTGGAATGGAAGAATGGAAGCTTGGTTGAAGAAGTAAACTTCCACATCATCAGCAAGATTAAAAAATCACCATGACAACGCATTGCTACACTGGATTGGAGAATGCTTGCGTAAATGGAAAAAATGACACTGACTTGCTCGTTTCTAGATATTTGTCTTCTAAACAGATATTTTGGAGTATCATCAAGCCTTTACTTAAAAGCTCTCTTCTCTTCTACTGCATCTGTTATTCAAAATCATTTTACATAATGCTGAAAAAGTAAAAACGACAAGACTCAAGAGATCGAACCTGTTATGCTTCTTACAAGACAAGTCATATGAGTTGGAACTATACAATTAGAAACAAAAGGGAGTTTGGAGCACCAAGACTATTATCAGCTACGGTGGCTTTCAAGCATCAGTGGGCTAAAGGTCAAAGTCAGGGTCGTGACCCCTGAGGGTGAAGCAGGGGGCCCCCAGGTGTCAAACCAGGGATATCTCCAGTCATCCCCTGCCTGTTCCTTCAACAACCGCAGACTCAATTTAGGGTTTCTGAAAAAATCTTGGAAGAAGTAGGATGCAGTGGTGATGTAATTCTCACAAACCACAACAATTTTGGATGATTCATTCTCATAAAATGAAGAGCAACCCCAATTCATTTTTGTTCTTCTGTTGTTAACCACATTCCTGTCAGACTTTCTGCTTCCATGCACCTGCACTTGTATTAGTTATTTCCTCAAATAAGCTGTAATGGCTAATCTGCATTGCCCCGTTTCACTCTCACTTGTGATACACCTCTGGAAAGACGGCTCATACAGGACTGCATTGCAAAGTACTAGATACAAACAGGGTTGCCTTTGCCTTTATAATTCATTTTAGTTTAATTTATAATAATTTGTCTAAGTCATGCAGACTACTGGGTATGACATGTAACCTATGACCTCAAGATGGAGGAAATCCCTCAGCCTCAGGTGGGGAGGGCTCAGACTAACACCAACTATTCCCCCTTTAAAATGCAAAACAGAAGGTAGATCTACATGTAAGTCATTACAGATCTACCCCTTGCATTCTATCACAGGAGGAGTTCAGACAGAGTTTCCCTCTCATAATGCAGACAAAAAACCTTAGATCTAAACCGCTTGAATCCCGCTTGAACTTAGGTTTTCTATGAGATAAAGATGTTCAGCGAGAGATAATCCCATCTCATAATGCAGAACAGACAACAGATCAGTCAAAGACATTGCAAATCCGGCAACTTCTGCCTACTGTTCGCAATAAGGTCACATCTATCTTTATTTCCCACCCCTAAACTTGCATGTGGCCTCCACCAGTTTGGACTTATCAATATGGAATCCGCCCGGTTGGTTTCTTTCTCGAAAAGATGAAATATGGTTCCGATACGCAACGCTTCAATCCAAATAATCCATTAGTTCCTTCAGATGCCAATCTGAAGTGAGTTCTAAACAGACTGGGTTTATACTTAGCATCAGACCTGAAAGATTTCATCTCACAGATGTAACAGGCGATTGAGAGGGATTTGTGTGTGGTCTGAACTGAAGTGGAAAGGGTTGAAAAGAAGATGGAGTGAGAGAGCTAGAGGGTGAAGGGTACAGGCAGATGGGAAGAGGAAGGAAAGAAGGTATGAAGAGAGACAAGAGAAATGAGTTGAAGCAGGCATGTGCATGTAGGAAAGAAAGAAAAAAAGAATGAGGCAGAACATAAAGTGAGAAAAGTATGAGGAACCATGAATGATGGCGAAGGTGGAAAAAAAGTAGGGAGAGAGAGAGAGGGAGGAGGAAAAGGAGAGAAGGAAAAGAAGAAGAAGAAGTAGAAGAAGAGAAAGAAGAAGAAGAAGAAGAAGAAGAAGAGCAGAGGAAAACATGAGGAGCATTATAAAGAATGGAACAAATAGGAGAAAGGGGAAACATTAGAGTGTATGGAAATAAATGTAAGTATAAACGGTTCAAAGAAGACAGAAAGACATGAACACATATGCTAAGGATTGCCCAGAAAAGGAATGACAGATACAAAACAAGTAGAAAGAGAATATAAATCACGGAAGCTGGAAACTACCAAACCAAAGATAGAAAATAAAGAGAAAAAGGGGGTGGGCAAATGGTAGTGATTATCTCCAAGTCGATCTCTGCTCTCCCGCCGTGCAGAAGATGAAAGTCTGCTTCTTCGGGAGCCGAGTCAAACAGCTTGAACCAATTGGCAACTCCAAAACTTTGCGAGGCACACGGCCAAGTTCAAACCCAGATCAAGTGTTTATGCCGCAGATCCTCTTTTAACATGAACATGGCTATATTTAGGGCTCCATTTGTTTGATGACACATGGTATGTTTACATCTGGTGACCCACACACCTTGATATAGTGAAAGACATGTCTAGGGGTGCGTTTAATCGACACTTTTTCACCCTAGAATCACGGTTTCTAAAGACGTTTAGTTTAAAACGCAATGCGTTCAAGCGATTTTTTCGTCGGTCGTAAAAATAAACGTGTTTGAAAACACAAACATGAAACGCTGAAAAAGATGCGTTTTGTATCATGATTCAAAAGAATCACGGTCGCTAAAATTCGATTGAACGGACGGAGTTCTCAATCATGATTGTATGACGAAGCCTCTTCCGGTTTGGGAAAAACCGCGCGCCCGCTTTGCATGCAATTTGCGTTCACTATACCATCGTGGCCTGTTCCGTTATGTTATTCCTTGTTTTTCCTTCTATCATTTTTTCTTTCTGTTTTTCCTTATGTTATTCTTTGTTTTTTCCTTCTATTCTTATGTTATTCTTTGTTTTTTCCTTCTATCACCTTTTCTTATGTAATTCTTTGTTTTAAGCATTCTATCAATTTCTCTTTCTGTCTTTCTTTATGTTATTCTTTGTTTCTTCCTTCTATTCTTATGTTATTCTTTGTTTTTTTCCTTCTATCATCTTCTCTTATGTTATTCTTTGTTTTAATCATTCTATCACTTTCTCTTTCTATCTTTCCTTATGTTATTCTTTGTTTCTTCCTTCTATCATCTTCTCTTATGTTATTCTTTGTTTTTTTTCCTTCTATCACCTTTTCTTATGTTATTCTTTGTTTTTATCATTCTATCATTTGCTCTTTCTGTCTTTCCTTATGTTATTCTTTGTTTCTTCCTTCTATTCTTATGTTATTCTTTGTTTTTTTCCTTCTATCACCTTTTCTTATGTAATTCTTTGTTTTAAGCATTCTATCAATTTCTCTTTCTGTCTTTCTTTATGTTATTCTTTGTTTCTTCCTTCTATCATCTTCTCTTATGTTATTCTTTGTTTTTATAATTCTATCACTTTCTCTTTCTATCTTTCCTTATGTTATTCTTTGTTTCTTCATTCTATTCTTATGTTATTCTTTGTTTTTTTCCTTCTATCACCTTTTCTTATGTAATTCTTTGTTTTAAGCATTCTATCAATTTCTCTTTCTGTCTTTCTTTATGTTATTCTTTGTTTCTTCCTTCTATCATCTTCTCTTATGTTATTCTTTGTTTTTATAATTCTATCACTTTCTCTTTCTATCTTTCCTTATGTTATTCTTTGTTTCTTCATTCTATTCTTATGTTATTCTTTGTTTTTTTCCTTCTATCACCTTTTCTTATGTAATTCTTTGTTTTAAGCATTCTATCAATTTCTCTTTCTGTCTTTCTTTATGTTATTCTTTGTTTCTTCCTTCTATCATCTTCTCTTATGTTATTCTTTGTTTTAATCATTCTATCACTTTCTCTTTCTATCTTTCCTTATGTTATTCTTTGTTTCTTCCTTCTATCATCTTCTCTTATGTTATTCTTTGTTTTTTTTCCTTCTATCACCTTTTCTTATGTTATTCTTTGTTTTTATCATTCTATCATTTGCTCTTTCTGTCTTTCCTTATGTTATTCTTTGTTTCTTCCTTCTATTCTTATGTTATTCTTTGTTTTTTTCCTTCTATCACCTTTTCTTATGTAATTCTTTGTTTTAAGCATTCTATCAATTTCTCTTTCTGTCTTTCTTTATGTTATTCTTTGTTTCTTCCTTCTATCATCTTCTCTTATGTTATTCTTTGTTTTAATCATTCTATCGACTTTATCTTTCTGTCTTTCCTTATGTTATTCTTTGTTTCTTCCTTCTATCACCTTCTCATTCTTTGTCTTATTATTGGATCTATGCTCAAAACAGCAGTCGACAGTCGGCCGTAAACAATTCCAGAAAGCGCGCGCCGAAGTTCCTGGGCCATACTGCGCAGTGTGATGCGCAGTGGTTTGGCTCGCAATGAGCTAGAATCAGCGTTGATGAAAAATCGCTTGAACGCAAACCGCAGTGACCTTGCTTTTTGTAACGGCGTTTTGAATTGTGATTCATGTTTGTGATTCTAGCTTCGAAAATTCGATTGAACGCACCCTAGAATGTACGTGATCATGATCGAGCAGTTGATTTGAATTTGAGATAACTAATGGGGGTGGGAGCGTTGCATTGTTTTACATGACCACACTTTACTTTTCATGTTGAAACAACATTTTAAGAGTGCATACTGGACCCATTTTGCTAGTATAATACAACAAATTGTCAATCAAGAAATCCTTATTACAATATTCCTCTTCCCCCCCCCCCCCAAAAAAAAAAATATATCTCCCTTTAAAACATCCTCTGTGTGTGTGTCTCTCTCTATACCCAAACAAGGACCTGTATAATTGTTATTTGCTTTACATGTTCATGCACGTGCACAGCATATATATCTCTTCACATACATTTCATTGAAATACAAAAACAATTCAAATTTAGAAAGATTACATGGACTTCTAATTGTTCTAAAGAACAATCATTTGTAATAATTAATAATAATAATAATAAAAGCTGTGCTTATAAAGCGCTTACCACCAAAGTCTCTTAGCGCTAACAATCTAATCTCTAATTAACAGTATGTTCAATATCATGTACTCTCCAAAAAAAGCATGGATATTTTTGTCCGGAAAACGATACATGCGGGGAATATTAACTTGGCTGTTCTCCAAATACAAAGTAGGGCGAGAGAATTGTTAACAATGCAGAGCACTATCACAATTTACATTAAGCCGACAAAAAAATATATTAAAAAACGCACATATAGCGCAACATTGTTTAGATTTTCTTTCTTCGCCCCATCTAAAAACACTTGGAAAATGTGTGTCTGCTATCAAATGAGATCTTTTGTGAGATGCCCAAAATAACTTGGTTTTAATTTTCTACTTTAGCTCAAGGGGCCGGCCATTAGTCAAAGTGCTACATTGATGAGTGATTCTTGGATAGTTGAGCTCATGGAACAAACTTGTTTGGAAATTCAATACCATCAAGAGACAATGGAAAGGAGGGAGAGAGAGAGAGAGAGAGAGAGATAGGGATAGAAAAGGAGAGATAGAGATAGAGGAGAAAGATAGAGGAGAAAGAAAGAGAGAGAAAGGGAGAGAGAGATAGAGGAGAAAGATAGAGAGAGAGAGAGAGAGAGAGAGAGAGAGAGAGAGAGAGAGAGGTCTATCCAATCAAATGCAGTTATGGAGAAGTAAACTAGAGTATGTAGCAGACATGGATTAAATCCTACAGATGCATTTTTCAGCTACCGTACATATTTCTAATTATCCATCTACCGCATGAAGCCTAACAAAGACAAATAACAAGTTGATTTCAATCATACAGATCCCAACAACCTTGTTCATCTAAATATTTTCGAATTCTTCGTCCAAGGTATGAAGCCTAACAACAACTTCTAGCATGCTTTCCACAGGATGTTTAAAGATTACGGTCGGATTTAGTCTTACAGATCCATGTCATTACCATCATCTGAATATGTCCTTGCTATCAAGTTAGTATAGTTATTACCAAGGTCCCTAACAAGCTTCACTGATTGTTTACAACCTACAAGTTAAGAGGCATTTTCTTCTGCAGATGCTCATAATAAGTTTCATGGTTTCATAGTTAATGATGATCCCTAACAAGCTTTTGGAAGTCGTGTACAGCTAATAAAGGGTTTTGATCCCACAAAGTCTGAAGTCCAAATGTCAAACTAACAAGCTTTCAAAACAAAATATGTTGACAAATACTGTGGGTGTATTACTGATCTTATTAATTATCTTAATTTTCTACTAGATCATGTCTCAAGAATACAAGTTTCTCACATCTTTATTGAGGTTCATTTAAGACTCATCTTGCATTGTTATAATCTATGTCAGTCAATGACCAGAAAAGTGAAATTTTGACATTTTGATAACCTCTTGATACTGTCCCTTTTTTCAAACAAAACTGATCTCTACATATCTAGATTAATTTAGGGTTTATTTGGAGACCCTGCAAGAGCATTTTGTGAAGCCCTATAGACAAAATAGGCATTGAACAAATGTACTGTATCAAATATTGCATTGAACTGTGGTCAAGATTGCTTCTGAACAAATCATCTTTCTGTACTTACAGGTAAAGAGGCTGATGAAGGTCTCTGAAAGTTTTGGTGTAAGCAGAGGTTCTGGTAGTTCTCGGAAGTACTGTTTCAACATATCGGCAACGTCATAGGCCATCATGCCGTCGTAGCTTAGTGTGTCTGGAACAGAAATGGGCCACAAAAGCACAGTATAAAGTGACTATTCATAAATCTATATTTGTAATTCAATTCATGTAGACAGAACTAGTGTGATTGCAATAAATAGATTTGGTTTAAATCTGTACTAGTTTGGCTAGGAGGAATTAGACCACCCAGGAAGGTCACTGACAGGTGGCTATCTCATCAACTCAGCTCTCAATTAACATAAGAAAAAGAGGATCATGGGGGACCAAAGGTCACCGATTAGGCATTGTTTTCTATATAGAGGGAGCAATTAGCCACAAGTAGTACAGTGGGCCTTAAAGGTATTACTGATTCGGAAGAATAGAAATACATTTTATAAAAGAAATGCATTGGAGGCTCATACTGCTGAAACCCCCTCCCTCCCAATTTTAACCCCATACCCTGACCCCACCCCTACTCCAACCGCACCTGTACTCCACCGCTACCCCACCCCTACCCCCTACCCCCACATGTCCCTCGAATAGATCCTCACCAGGGTTAGCCTCGTTCATCTTCTTCAACGCCTGGATGCGGGACCGGACCCCGGGCTTGCGGAAGAGCCCCACGGCCTCGCCGGCCTGGCGTCTCAGGTAGCGCATGGCGTAGAGGATGGTCTGGGGGAGGGGCTGACCGGTCTTCTGGAGGTGGTAGAGGAGGGGTACACCAAACACCAACCGGTCCTTGATGTCCGCCGTCTTGGTCCGCTTCATGAAACGTGGCACCATCCTGGAGGGAGGGGGAAGAGAATAAAAGAAAATGGTATGAGAAGCAATTCCTTATAAACAGCAAAGTCATCCAACTAGAAACTGAAAGGCACTATGTAATATTTCTACCTAGCAAAATTATTACCACTGGACATGTTAAAAAGAACTTTGAAACTTAAAAAAAAAATGTTTTAAAGTGCACAAATTTATTTGATTATACAATTTTAGGGGGAAAATCGCCATAAATATTTACAAATATTGCCACAGCTATCTAAAAATCAATATTCTAGAGAAATATTTTTATATTGTGTATGTTTTCTTTAGAAGTTATCTTACTAATCGAAACACTATGGGAGATATGAACTTGAATTTTAAAGCCTACAACAGGGTTAAATGGTACCTCTAAGGAGAAGAAACCAAAGGAAATTCAAATTTATAATGGGCCTCTAAAATATAGGACAGGTGGCATTTCATATGACAGTAGGATGAAGGCATAATGTATGGGATCAGGAAAGGTTGACATGATAAAACTGCTCCAAGCTATTTTCACATGGTTCATAATAGATAAGCTGTATGACAGCCTATCTATGAAATGAAGGGGGAAAAGAGAGGGAAAAGAATATTTTCCCCAACTGTACCTTCAGGTTTGGATGATTTTTTACCATCATATTCCCATAAGTATTTTCCTGCTGGAAATATTTTTTAAATTTTCTATTAAAGCCTCTTCATTTAGTTACCCCTACATGTATTACCCCTACAGGTGAAATTTCTGTACAACTACCTCTCCCAATCTCTCTCTCTCTCTTTCTCTCTCTGTCTTTCTCTGTCTTCATCTCTGGTTATCTGACTATCTCTAGGTCTGTCTGCCTGTCTCTCTCTCTCTCTCTCTCTCTCTCTCAAAGTCTATATCACTCACTCTCTCTTCTCTCTCACATTTCAGTTTCTTTCGTTTTTGCTTCCCTAACCTACTCGATCTGCTCTTCCTTTCGATTGCCACCCTCTCTTTCCCCTCCAATTGTCTTTCTTTCTTTCTTTCTTTCCTTCTTCCCCTTTCTCTCTATCTGTCTCATCCTGTCTCAACCAATTTTCCCCCTTATTCTCTCTCCCTCTCCCTCTCCCCTCCTCTCTCATGATAAGATGATTGCTACTAAACAAAGACCCGTCCCCCTCCACATCCTAAACAAATTGCTGAAATCTTCCATACATCACCAGCAATTTCCTCTGCATGCTATCTTTAACCTGCCCCAAATTGAAGTGATCATTCGTCATCGCAAACCATGTAGACGCTTTTTGGAAGCCATGTTTTTTTAGAAGCCACGCATAACGGCAGAAAGGTGAAGGCAGCCTTAATATCAGATATGTGAAGCATGGTACTACAGAACACATAAAAAGATGCTTTTCCAATAACATGGTTTCAGTTGTTTGTGATTTATTTTTTCTGATTTTGTAAGTGTAGTACATAACCAAAAAAAGAAAAGAAAAGAAAAGAAAAAAAAGGATACGTTCTCGTTCTAAAAAGGATGATGATGAGCCACATGGTTTCGTGTTGTAATGAATTATATTGCATATTATCCTTTCATTTTTTTGGAGCACCTTCTATGTCTTTTAGTCTAACTGAAGAAGAAGAAAAAAAATCAGCGTTTATTGCTATTTTACTTGGTTAAAAATGCAGAGAGGGTGTTTGATTTATGGCAAATGGAATCTACACTTACACACACAGAATTACTTGGTCTATTCAAAAGTATTAAAAACAAAAATTGTTGGATTCTAATGGGTTAGTCACATACATGCACAGTGCGCTTGAAGGAACCATCAATTATATGTAACATTACACCATTAATCATGGGTGGCACTGAACTTGAGAACTGAGAAATTGGAGTACTTATGTCTTGTGACATGCAGTTGAAGAATTGTTGAGGGCAGATTTCGCCGAGTTTCAAAGTTTGGTTTTCTCGTAAAACTGTTGGTCTTTAAAACAGTTAAAGATTAGTCAATATTTTGAGTGAGATTGCGAGTTGTTGTTCTTTTTATTATCCTGTTCTTCACATGCACATACACATAAAAAAAACCTCTCAGAGTTCTACAAGTAAGTTGGGTGAGGAGGTCTCTAAGCCAAAATTCCCAGGCTAAGGATACCACAAGGGATTCTGATGAAACTTTAACCTCCATGTTTGGATATCATTTCCCGTTATTAAATCACCTGTCTTTCAAGTCCCTAGAGGAAAAATTCGAAATCATCCTTTCAAATTGGCCCTTTGGGTCTGTAACGCTATAGCTCACACAATACTGCACTATCCTGAATACACAACGAACACCTCCAGGTCAACGCAGAGGTCAAGAAATGGACACTGCAGGAAAAATTCCAAGTATGGAGAAACACTTCTCTCCTTTTCTTATTATTTTGTAGGTGACAAGGGACTCGTTGTGCTTTAACCTACATGGTTAGCCTGCTCAGGGAACTCTAGTGGGGCATGGATGGAGGGGTGTATCTCCTTTCAATTAAAGCAACTTTTGTTTATAAAATGAAAGAAATGGTGGATGGCATCTCCCTCGCTAAACAACTGTCTTCATCGACTTTATAAATATGCCACCAAAAGGGAAAGAAATATGTTCTTTAAAACAAGGAAAATATAGCCTTGAAAGAACATCTTAGAAGTATTTTTTCTATTTGTTTTATTTGGAGGGAGGGGGATGATTCAAGCATCCAAAGGCAAACTCATATTGCTTCACTACTGCCACAGACTTCTGTTCCTTAGTGTCTTTCTATTTTTGGGGGTGGGAGGGAGGGAGGGCTGCAGTAGCTAAGCATGCTCCTTGCTTCATAATCATATTAATAATATAGTGTAAAAGATTAAATTTAATTCTTTCTTGATTTTTCAGTGCTACAGTGCTCTGTTGATATTTAAATGGTAATTCAAGAGCTGCATATGCTTCTCTTCCTTGTTGTCTTACTCTTTCTTGTTCCCCCCTTTTTTTGGGGGGGGGGGGGGGGGGGGTTAATGGCATATTACACAATCACAACAATAGTATGATGTAAAAGTGGGCCTTTAATTTCCCAGAGCTACAGTGCTGTGTTAATATTTAACGGGAACGTCAAGACAAACGTGTTTGGTGATCATTCTTACCATGTCCACCCACTCCGATGTGAGACCGAGTAACGCTCCATCACTGCGGTCAATTTGAGGAGCGAAAGCTTGCGAAGGATCATCAGCTGGCCGACCGATAAACTGCTCACTTGGAAAGGTCTGCATTGAAGAAGAGAATGATGAAACACATTTGAGAACTGTGAATTTTGAAGTTGTTTATAAAATGAATATACATCACAAAAGAAGTTTGTCATCAATTCATATTAGTAATAAAAGTAAATAAAAGGCATTTGCATATTGTATTCAGATCTCCATTTGGTTGACTTGATTGCATTGTCAATGTTGTTTATTCACTGAATTTCTACTTTGATTTCTTCACAATGTATATTTTAAACATCTCTCATTTCCTGTATGACAAAAAAGCCCTGTATTACGGGGACTAAAATGATATCATCTTGTATTTTTTCCAATAACAGTAGTTTGTAATTACTGTTCGCTATCACATAACGCAAGCGATTGCCAACTGTAAAACCCTGTCCTACGGCGATCAGCACTTCACATCTACACCCAACAAAGGCGTGATACGAATCTCGTATCTCCCTTACCCAGAAGTCGTTAATTACTGTTCAGTGTCGCATAACAACATGGCACGGATATCATCATGTTCACGGAGCTTCCCTCAGGAACATATTAAATATTTCCTGCTTCCTTCCTAACGTGATACAAATCCAAATGACTTTCGTTGTTGTCGTGCTCGATCTTGCCTAATTGTCAACATAGTGATTCATGATGATACTGTATTTCAAATATGAAATGTTATGATGATATCATATATGAATCACGTATCGCAAGATTTCAATTACTATTACCCTAGCTGGATATATCATATCATTATTGTTTACGATCAATGCTAAACATAACAATCACATATTACACGTATTAGAATTTGATTGGATTTCTTCTCAGGCAAACCAGCTAGACTTTAGAACAGCTGTCGTAAATAAGTTACTTCCTAATAATTGTTTTATTATATCAAGTTACATTTCGTGTTCTTTCAAATAACATATTTTAGAAGCAATGATGGAGTAAACCAAGATCAGCTAAGATATACATAAGCTGATTTCAGTGTTATATAGGCCTATACTAATGAGAGAACGTTGCCCCAATGTCAAATAACATTTCAAAGAATTACATTCTGTACATTGTATTGTCTGTGAAACAAACACAACACCATCTGCGACTTGTTTTTCATGGTTTCTAGATAAAACTGTCTAAGACTTCATATTTATACAAAACTAGAAAATAATAATCGTCACAACTCTTGAGCATAACACATCCCCCACAATGGCCTCAAGTAATTCCTACAAAGATGATACCTTGCAATAAGATTTCAGAGAATGCCTTGAAGAAATTGAAGAAAACAGAAGCAGAATTGATTTCAGAAACTTGATAAACATTTCCAATCGAGAAACAGATGAACAACATACAAAGGGAAGAAAAGAATGGTCTACAACTTATCAAAAATATAAATTTTCTTTCATGATTGAATCGAGAATGTGGATTGAATCCTAAGTCAGGGACTTTAATGGATGAAAGATTCCATTCAATCGCCATTAGATGAGCTTACTGATGAACATGTGTTGTGTTGACGTCAGTGTGTCGTCAGTTGTCTTTGCTAGTGCAGGAAAGAACAAGATAATTGGTGTTGGACACGTCTTAAATCATATGACCCACAGCTGAGCATGACAACTGATGCTTTTCAGGCAAAGCTTTTTCCGATGACGTTTGATACAATGGCTAATGGTGCATAATGCATATTGTCTGGGGCACTGTGGCGTCTTTTGTAATATTAATTGATGTAAAAACACATAAGCACTTCTATGACGTGCTTCAATTGAAATCTTTATAAAGAATTGTGTAAGATTTAACTTACATGTATGAGTTTCCTATTCAAGATACATACTGCGCACATACATTGACATCATATTTGGTATTTAGTTTGATTTTATTCATATCATGTAATTTATGTATATGCCTATACAGTGTAGGATGCTTTCAATATGTTGAAAATTTGCTTTTTTGAATTGAATAAATAAATGATAACATTTATATTACATTTTTGCAGTCAGATAAGTATCACCTGTTCAAATGAGAACTTACAAGAATGTTAACAATTTCCTTTTTACTAAATTTTTCGGCATGGTTTAAGGTGACACAAAGCAGTGATATCAAGAGCGCTCAAACTCGATCTGCAAACGTGACTGGTGAAATCTGACCCAACCTCAAATATGAGAGGTGTGATCCCTACCTTTCATGAGGCCGCATCAGGCCTCTTGTTTTTCATGGATAATCCACCCATCAATCCAAGGGGATTAAGGATCCAACTCCTTTATCCTAAACCAACATCACCTTTCTCCCCTCCAATGATTTTTTTTGCCAATATTTCTTGAGAATGTTTGGATTAGCGTTCCTGCGCCTCATTTTTCTTGCCATTTCTCTCCATCATGAGCTCTCTACTCGGCCTTTGAATTGGAGGATGAGATGATGGATGCACGATGAAGAATGACCATCATACATCATCTCTCCCTCCTTTTAGTCCACCCTTTCTCCCCTTTCACCATGCACTCCCATCATTTTCCATCATGACAGGATCCCCATTCCAAATCTGCATTCATCTCAACCATCGTGCACCAGCCCCCTCCTTTGTTTGTCTAGATCTTCCACCTCTTTCCATTCTCCCAATTTCAATACAGAAGCCAGAATGAACATCATACATCATCTATCCTCCTTTTAGTCCACCCCTTTTCCATCATGACTGGATCCCTATTCAAAATCTGCATTCATCTTTGTCATATAAATCAACTATTTTGCACCAGCCCCCTCCCTTGTTTGTCTACCTCCCACCACTTTCCACTCTCACAGTTTCTCCCCATCTTCCTAAAAGGTTAAGATGATGAATGGAAAACGAATGACCATCATCCCTCCCAACCCTTTACCCTTGTCATCTGCCTCATCTCCATCTTGGAATCACTTCTATTTTTCTCCAGAGTTTTCCCTATTTCAAACAACTCTATCCCCATACTGTTTGGGATGATAACTCTAGCAAAAATCTCACAAGTCCTCTATTCTTTCCAAACATCATTAATAGTATCAAGTGTCAAATCTCACTTGTCTTTAGAACATTTCAAAATATCAAGTCACTGAAAATGTGAAATATTATCTTCTTCTCCATAGGCATTGCTCTTTGAATGAACAAGGTCAATTCTACAATGGAAGACAGTCACTGTAGGCCTGTCATCATCAGACCAAAATTGCAAAATAGCCTGTAATTTTAAGACTCTGGATATTTTCCCGAAGCTCGAAATTGTGTCTTCACCAGACCGATACGCTCATAAAAAGCAGCTCGGACGGGTGCAACTTAGCCTGCTATTTCCTTAATATCAGGCAATTTTGGAAACATGAACAACATTTCTTGACCAAATAGCCAGCTAATTGCAACTGCGGGCTGATGAAGATGCAAATTAACTGGTTAATTTGCGATCGGGATAGATAAAATAGCGAGTTATTTGGCAAACTCAAGCTGATAAAAACAGGCCTACAGTAAAAGTGTACAGACTTCAGAAGGTTGTTCACATTCCAAGCTCTAAGATCTTCCAGGTATCCAGGGATGAGCTCCAGCACACCTTTGGGGTGCGTGACTGATTATGTATAGGTCTACATGACTATACATTCCAAGTCAGGGGCTCATGCCACATCCTTGGGAGCACAATGTGCAGAAACAGACACATTTTATTTTCCCTCACATTCGGTCATGAAAACAACAAAACATACTCCTGCTGATTGACTGCACAAGTGGGGCCACAACTGCAGGTTGGCTCTCGGAGCTTCAGAACAGAGGTGAATTTGACAACATACTCACAGAAATACAGACTGCATGCAAGAAGCAAGAACTGCAATACACGGTGACATCATCGTGCAGCCTTTGTCTGCTGTCTCAATGATGCATATCAATCAAGGAGAAATGGCTCCCATGATTTCCATCACAATTTGATTGAATACAAACTCAAAGCCAACAGAGACAACTAAACTATACTTGTTTCAAAGTCTGCAGACTGTTCTAAACCCTTTGACTTCTAATTGCTGTCTTCCCATTGGCTTTGTACAAGAACAACCCAGTTCCTGTTGGCAAAGGGTTATTGTTGTCTTGTGCTTTTGTTGTTACTTGTCTATCATCAGCAGCTTAGATCCTCACTTAATACCTATTGTTCAGGGGGGATGAATGATTATATCGCACCTCCCCCCTGAACAATAGGTAAGGATCACCCTGTCTATCATTATTACTGCAAATATAATTAGATATCACAAGAATCTAACTCAGATTTGGTTTTTTCGCTTACAAAATATTGGAATGGATACATTTGTCTTTCCCTTTGGTCTTTACTTAATATGCTTTGACTGTCTACCATTGTTGAAAAATTCAATCAAGAAATCTCGGGGATTATACAAATATTTGCAGATTTTCACTTCCAAAACATCTACTACATGTTGTATTTGAATGGATAAGGATACTTGCTTCTGAAGGGCATTGAACATTTTAAACATGCATTAATCCAGCATTCGATAGAGCTAAAATTTCAGCCTATTCAACATTTTATGATAGGAATTGAGAACGTTGAGCCATATCATATTTTGTAGAATATTTATCGTTTCTGTCAAGTAGATATTTTGATTTGCTTTACACAATTGATTTATGCACCATCAATTTCTTCCCTAAATAAAGAAATAACTGCATGTTTTGCATCTCGAGAGGCTTGAAATAGAGGTCATCTGGTTCACTTTCACAAGCTCGTTTCAAAGCAAGCAATCTTAATGGCATTCCAACCAAATGATTTAATGGAATATTTCTAAACATTTAGCACTTCTAAGCAATCTTTTCCAGGCACTCCCCAATCTGCAAGAAGAAAAGGGTCACAACCAACCCTCAACTCTTGTCTTTTATAACTCTGCTGATATCAGTTTAACCAAGTATCAATAGCAACATCTAAAATTCTGAAACTGGATGCATTCAGTTTTCAATGACAAATTGTGGTAGGCACTATACATATCTTTGTAATACCACAAATCATTTCAAATAGAATTTCCAGAAAATGGGCAAAACCAAATGAAATCTATTTCAAATTGCTAGCATCGGTATGCAAACCACTAAAACCAAGTGTGGAAATGATGGGAGAGAGAGAGAGAGAGAGAGAGAGAGAGAAAATGAGAGAGAGAGAGTGAAGAGAGTGGGGGGGGGGGAGGGGGACGTTAAATTTCACTCTATATAGAGTGGAATTTAACGTCCCCCTCCACTGCATTCTACAAGATTGTAGTCATATATATGACTACAATATTGTAGAATGCAGTATGCACAAGTTATGTAGTGCTTAAAAGTTATCAAGTGAACACTCCAATACTCTTCATTCTTTCATACATACTTACCTATGTATACAAAGTTGTCATTTTGAGAATGAAACATCACAAGATAATTAAAGCAAATGCTATCGGTCTACCGGCGATCTGAACATGCCTGTAATCTCATAGACCCTTGAATTCTTGCGGCATTTGGCGTCAGGGTCCCTTTTTCTCCCGCTGACGTCAAAGCGATATATCAGTGTCCGAGGGAATACTCTCAGAGCAACATCAAGCTCCTAATGTAATCAAATTCATCCACGGATCTTCCATTATTTTCCTTCCAGCAGAGGTGTAGACCCAATATTCTTTATTTCCTCTCTGTGTATCATGTTGACAGACAGTCTGATCGGCTGTTTTTTTATATCACTCGAGTACCGGTAAGTGTGATGAATGTATTTGAAAGTGTTTGTGAATGTAGGTTGCTGTTACAGCAAATATGAACTGTGTGTGAAGTTTTTTGCTTTTAGTTATATTTGGTTTAATGTGTTGTCTTACTCTTGTGCATTTGACAACAAATATGAATAGAAGAGATTGATTCTCACCTGGAATTTAGACTTGGTCGATGAGACTTCTGGAAACTGTGCCATCTTATTCTTGGTCTCCTGGCACTGTAATGGATACAAATGACAACAAAAGAAACAAAACAATTAACAAATAAATCACAAATAAATCTCAACAGATGGAATAAGATTTGCTATCTTAAACTTCTCCTTCATCAATACTCAAAGTTCTATACCCTTCTCTGCGTGTGTCTCTCACTCTCTGTCTGTCTGTCTGTCTCTCTCTCTCTCTCTACCCCTCCCATTTCTACTTTGTATAGTAATGATAATAGTACAGTTCTTATAAAGCGCATAATACATTTGTTGACATCTCTACGCGCTGAAGGAAGAAGGAAAAATGAAAAAGAAAAAATAGACCCATATTATTTTACTTCATTCAAATGTTTTCTATCATTCTCTCTCTGCTCTGCTCTGCTCTCCATCCTTCCACCAGCATCACACCTCATCTCTTTTAGAATATGTCTTTCTCATCTCCTGCGTAATTTACTTGGTGATGATGCCTTACGACAAACATACGTCACATGGACGTTGAGAGAATGCTGAACATGTGGCGAGTGTGTGTGTGTGGGGATGCCGATTTGAGATTCTCATTACAAGGCCCATTAGCGCTTCACCACATAGCACCTTGTCTGATGCCTGCACATAATGAGTTTTACGCATGATGCTTTTGCAACTTAGGGCACAATCACGAAAGGTTCAGAAAGAGAGGAAGAATTCAATACTTGGGCTAGGAAAATTGCTTGTATACTTGCATCATTTTCAAAGAAGGTGACATAAAACTGAATCATTAATGCAAAATGCATGTTGGGTGTAGCATATCCCCAAAGTGAAAGTCCTCCTGTACATCTTTCATTTAAAGGAATATTGGGTCTCAAAAGAAGATAATTTTCAATGTAGATTATCTAGATACCGGTACTGTTTTTGCACAATTACTTTGTCACAAAAATATCAATAGTATTCCTTATCCATACTACCCCCCCCCCCCAATCCTCCTTCCTTTGTAGCATAAACTCAATTAAAAAGAAAGATTTATAAACTTTCATGAATAATTGCCTGGAAAACATAACTAAAGCCATATTTCAGGTCATGCCAAACTTCATACTTCTAAACATTATTTACCCTTGCCTATTTATAGCTGGAATTCTACACTAAACCACAAAGCCGTTTCTCTATAAACAGCACAACACTGCAAATTTCCCCTACCACGATATCAAACTTGACATAGTCACTCTGCACTTTCGAAGGACACAATTTCTAGGGCAATTAACACCTTTACGTGACTGTAATTCTTCAGTGCTGATCAGCTAGCCTGCCATGCACATTCAGGTGTGAGAGGAACTATTACCATGATGGCCTCGACCCCAGAGCTTCCCCCATCATCAAACGAACCTTGAACGTGGGGCAAAGAATTTGTCAAGTGTCAAGGGGAGTTCTTTCACAGGATCTATTTTCTTCCACCAAATGATTGAACTTTGGTACTGTCCATTAACTTGAAGCTTAGTCTTGTAATTCCATTCAGAAATTGAAGAATGAGAATAAAAAATACACCTATTTTTAGAAGGTCTAAGCTTAGCATTTTTCTAGTAAAGGATTAAACCGTCGCTCTATTTGTTGCAAAATTAGACAAGCCTCATGCAAGCTTCAATTTTTCACATGCACATACAGGTTTCGTCCAGGTATCATTTGCCATTGTATGCTTATGGTTTATGAACATTGTTTTAGGTTTTTGTCAAGGGTCAACCTCAAATTATATTGCAGTAAAAAGAAATACATTCAGATAACTAAAAAAAAAAAAAAAAAATCAACAAAAAAAATCTTCCTATAAATAAACATTTACAAATCTGAAGAAATAAAAGGATACGATTAACTTTTGTGTTCATTAAAAAGACTTACAAGGGTTTATCCTCGCAAATCTTGAAGGCTATTATAAAATGCATAAATGCGAAAGAATCCTTAAGTAAAAAAAAAGAAGAGAATAGCCAGGGTCAGAATCATTTTCTTTGGGGAGTATATATTAGCACCAAGTGAAAAGCGATAGGGTTTGGATTGTGGGGTAATGAAAAGGGGGAGGAAGGTAAATGACATTTGTGTAGTCCCATTGGTAAATACACCGGCCACCTTTTTATGAAGTGGTCCACACCAGGGTACCTGTATCTTTCAGTTAATAAAGTGGTCACGTTTTTCTACTCCACGTGATTCCTAGTTTATCTGCTTACATGCAGGGAAACACAATGAAAAGAAAAAAAAAACCCAAATTGAGTTTTTTTAGACTTTTAATGCCGGAGGAAATTTTGCAGATTTTTGCAGTGTAAATGCTCATTCTCAAAGCGTCTGTGAACTATTCCGTTTTTTTGTCATGTGACTCTGCTTACTGTTGTGCAATAGCAATGTCCACTAAGATAAAAGGTGACCAAGGTTGTCAAGAAATGGACTTTCAAAACCAGTACAGAACACAATAAAGGGGATTAGTTTTGTCAAATAGAGATCATTTTCAATAATATTTAAGTGTTTTTATGGCCAAAAAAAAGTGGAGAGGGACAGGACAAAGGACTGATATCTGAACACTATAAATCATTATAAAAAAAAACAGACACACCTGCATGAAGGTTTCTGCTAAAAAGTACACACCCTGATGTAATGTCTTTGACCTTCTCAAATTAATGCCCCTATCAAATGAAATTAATTCCTCTATCATTGAAGTCACAATGGGCATTCACTGCAATCTGCAGGTACTGTAGGTATCAAATTGGATCGTCAAGACGTACTACAATGGGCAATTAATGTGTCATAACGAGGGCCAGGTATCGAATTACATTACGACCAGTCATTAATCATTTAAAACCTGCATAAGATATTAAAGGGAAATAACTGTATGCATTTGCTTTCTTTTTTGATCACATAAATATTACTTTATTTGAACAAAATGTAATGCCCTTCTGGCTCTCAGCAGTGGATAGTTCAGTGGGTTTGCAAATGTTGACACCCCCCTCCCAGCCCCCTCTCCTCATACCTTGACAAGGATCCTTCACAAAATTACAAAGACTACTGTAACACTCCGAATTGTAGATATTTGGTAGCGTGGTTATGATGAGTGTTAGCTAGATATATCAATAGATGACTCGAAACAAATAATAATATATAGTTCAAGATTGTATTTTATTTAATATAATATGTAGCCGACCCCTCTGTGTATGCCTACAATAGGCAGGGGCAATCGCTGTCCAATCCCCACCTGAAGGTGGTGAGGACGAGAAGTTGAAGAACCCACATGATTGATTCCACAAACTATTTATACTTTTGGGAGAGTCCAAGCCATGGTCTGACATGAGAAATGTGAGACCATATTTGGCCATGGTCAATGTTATGAATTAAACATTAACCCTAATGAATTAAACATAAAGACCTCATGACCATAAATGGCTATGGTCAGTGGTTGTTTTTAAGTAGAAAGTGGAATGACATACTCTAATGGAATGTGCTTATCTTGCATGTATTTACACTACTAAGAAAGTACTGTTTTAAAGGGTGTTGTGTTATTAAGGGAATGAAGGGATTGTAATATTGGGTCTTACATATAGTTACCTCTACCGAAAAGAAACGTCCTCGTTTAAAAAATCAGAGGCGATAGAATTGACATGTAAATATTTATATAAAAATATATAAAGTAAAATATTATTTGCAATTACAGGCGAATGGAAGAATCACACCGACTTGTGGCTTATGGAATAATTGTGTAAGGAAATAGTGCAAACTACTCAAAGTATGTAACAGTCTTAAAATATAAAATACTATAACTTCAATTAAATGTGCATACAGCAACAAAAGTGATATACCAAAGCACTGACTAAAAGAAACTCAATTAATTATACATACATGTACTGTATGTAAATGTAGCCTACTCTGGACCAGAATTAGGGGAATTATTACCATCCGGATAGACATTACCACAACATGACTCATGACCTTAGGTCAGATTGACCAGTATACATTCCTGGTTGGAAGTACATGTAATAAATGATCAAGATGACAACAGCTGGTTTTTGTTTGAAAACAAAAATCCTACTTTTAAAGAAGAAGTGGAGTCATCCACTCATATAAATTTGAACTTATCATGACAAACAGTATTTTAATTGACCTACTGGGAAAACGAAACTGTGATTATGCTGCAGTTATAATTGGAAACATAAACTTCAATTAATAAAATCAAACCATTGAACTAAATTCTCAACTGAACTACAAAGAGAGGTACCATTATACGATAACAAAAAAATGGAACACATAAATGAAAATACACTGAAGACTAGAATATAATATGGATTATAAATGAAAAGCAAAATCGGTAGCAAAACAAAGCATACCTAAATTCTATGCCATATCTATAAAAACATGTAAATATAACTCGGTACAGTAAAACATAAAATGCCGATATCACAAAAACATAAACACACAATGAAAACTGATGTGTTGACATAAAGAAAATGAATGTAGCTAGGTAGCTATCGAATAGCCGAAAATATGTTCAACATGACTTTGTGGAACATGAATTATTCCCTGCTATTTTTGTCTGACAAGGTAATGATTTGGTGAATAAAAACACAAATTTGATTGAAATAAAATTATCTTATTGTGGAACCTAATACCCATGAAACATGACAACGAATGAAGTTCATGAGACATACATGAGAATCGGATGAACATGAAATGTACACCGATATAGCGGTAATATGTTTAGTTATTAAGCCAACTACCAAATTTAATAATACATTCACATATCATTATAAACTAATTAACCGTAAAGCACAGGCGTATAATGCTGCATGAAATTTCTATACAAATTTGGGAAAAAGTGCGGTTCTAAACATGTTACAAAGAAATTATGCCAACATGTTGAAATGACAATAACAAGATATAATTTGCCAGGTGTATACAAGGGCATGGCAAATATTATTAATCTACAATAATCCTTGCAACAGAATCTGTAAAAATGATAAAGGTAGGGTAAACCAAGCTAACAAAACAAAATGTAGGCAATATTGCTCTTGCAGAAA